CTAAAACTTCCTTCTTTGATTCAATAAGTAACGAATTACACTTCTTCTTCCGTTGTAACAGGTGATCCCTGTCCATATCAAGTTTATTATGTATATACATACACATATATATGTATATACATACACATATATATGTACACACACACACACATATATATATATATATATATGTATGTGTGTGTGTATGTACTTCTCTCCTATAAATCTTTTGTACAAACCAATATATGAATTAGAATTAGAGAAACAATGGAATTGAGAGAATTCATAAATGTTATTGCAAGCGTGCATCATAAAAATTAAATCTTATAATGTAATATTTACTTACACTGCTTTAAGTAAAACTTGTTGTAATCTTTCCTTATATCATTTTACATTGGTAGTTCATTTTATTTTTTTATTTTTAACTTATGCAATGGCTATGGATAAGATCATCTCCGGATATGTCCTCATCATTTACAATCGAACGGTCTATTAATACAATTTGTAATTTTATTGTATCTTTCCTTACATTATTTTATGTTGGTAATTCATTTTTTTCTTTTTTTAACTTATGCAATTGCTATGGATAAGATCATCTCCGGATATGTCCTCATCATCTCCAGTCGAACAATCTATTAATACAATTAGTTCACGATTATAAATGGGTCGATTTATGTGGTTCAATTGGAGATTCTTGTCAACTTGTTGATTGCTCATATTTCAGTACATGAACATTCATATATCCTTCTATACCACTTTGAATAAAATGGTAGAATGCTGTCTATAGTTAATTTTGGTTAGTGGATATATAGAGAATTATAGATAATAACTCTTAAGATAGACATAGAAGGAAACCTTATTTCATTCAATCTTCTATTTTTATGTACACGTAAAATAATCCATAAGATAAATATTCTAAGAAATACGGTAATACATGAAATAAAACTCTAGTTTCATATGTTTGAACGGGAAATTAACTGGAAACATCACAAGAAAACACACCATCGTCTAATTTCTTCATTGATTAGAAATATAAAAATCTAAGTATTTGTTAATTGTACCACTGCCATCTCTATGCCCTACTCCTTGTCCTCCTCGCATCCCTTGCCTTCGTTGTCCGCATCCTCATACGGCGTCTCCTCGTCCTCCTCTTTCTTCATCTGGTTTTCCTCTTCATCTTCAGAATCATCATAAAGAAGAGCTAATTTGAACCTCCTTTCATCCCAGGGACGAATCGAGAAATTAAAATGAATTTCCACGCCATCAAGGACAAATGCACCACCATTTCCCTCAGATGTCTGGTAAATCAAAGGCTGGCAACTTTTCGAACTCCTCAATGATGAAATTGGAGCCGTAGCAAGAAGTTTCCCCTTGTAAATAGTACCCGAATTGTTGCAATTTTTAGACAATAAATGCTTGTCAGAAATCCTCTTCGTCTCCTCCTCATCACCCGTGGAGGAATTTAGACCTGAAGTCTCACCAACCTGAGAAGAATAGTTGGCCATAGCAAAGGGTGAAGGTGTTGGCATTGCCATTGTTTTGGCACTAGGATAATCTGACTCCACTTCAGATTCAGATGGCGAATATTCAAAGAAGCCGAGTTTTGGAAACTTTTCCTTCTTCAAGATGTCCCTTAGACATATGTACTTAGATTCTTGAGCCATTGGTGAAGAGGAGTAGGAGGGATTTTTAAAGGTTACAGTGTTTGGTGAATATGATATGTATTCTAAAGAGTTTGGTATAAATACAGATAGATGCCACAAAAAGTTAACTCAATTGAGCTTGTTTTAATTAATGTATATATATATAGGGGGTTGTTTAGCTTGAAGGCCGAAAGGGTGCACTGTGGCGGGGAAGGTGTTGGAGGTGGAACGAGGTTATACGACACGATATGAAGTATTGATCACAACAATCGAATGAACACAAAGACAATAATTTAATTTGGCAGAGGAATTGGAGCTTTATTCAAATATAATGGAGAAAGAATTACAACAATCGTTTTTCTCACAATTATTCTAAATTCTGTAATAATTCAGCTTAGAAAGAAGAGTTAACTATATATAGAGACATGTGAAAATTCTAACAATATTTTTAAAAATGGAAATAGTATAAAAAATGCTTGGATCAAAGGAATAAAATATTTTCCCAATAAAAAATCCGTGGAGTAAAGGAAACAATATTTTCCTAAAAAAACACGTGGAATAAAGAAATTAATATTTAAAAAAAAAAAAACCAAATTTGGTTTACAAACCCAACGGTTCCACATAAAAATAAGCAGTAAGTTTTCTAAGTAGAATGTTGTATAGGATTACTCTGAATTAATCAACAGTCAAAAAATATAACATTAGTTTTAGAGACTCAAAAAATAGTCATTTTTACATAGTACCTAACACTCACGTGTAATTACAAAGCACAAATTGTCCTCACTCTTCTCT